TTTATGGCCAGAAAGTCTATGAGTTGCTAATGTATAATCTGGTTCTAACCTTTTAAAAATAAAATAAAATAAAATAAAATAAAATAAAATAAATAAAATAATAATAAATTTATAAAATTTAATAAAATTTAATAAAGTAAAATTATATTTTACCAATAAAAAAAACCTGTTTCATCCATATTATAAATTTGTTCAGGAGAATAATCTGCACATTTATTTTGCAATAATGAAAGTGCCTCTTCAATAGAAACTTCATTTGTTAATGATACTTCACTTTGTAATTTTATTTGTTAAATTTTATTACGTTTTTTAAAACTATATAATCAACTAGAAAAAATAATAAAGTATTTTCAGGAACACCTAATCCTGTTGCTAATAATTTTGCCTTTTCAATTAAAATATAATCACTAAGAATAACTCTATGTTGATAGCTTAAAACAAACTCCTTAAGTACCAATTCAAGTTCAGGAAATGTTACTGATTTATGTTATTTTAGTGTTGAATTAATTTGATCATTAGAAAGCTGTTTTTCTTTTGTTTGTAAAATTCTTGTAATAGTATTTTTATCAATCCTTACTTTCCATTTTGTTCTACCCATTCTACATATTCAGATCTGGTTATTTAATTATTGTTAGCATAAAGACACAATTTATATTTTTGAGTGTCAGTTAATATAATTTTTTTTTTATTGAACTCATTTGGTAGTTCAAAGATCTAAAATTTTTTTTATATTTTAAAATTATAATTTAATTAATTAATTATTTTAAATCTTAATACACTGTTGACCGTGATCTGACCTTCAAGGGATAAAATAACTATTAGTTAAAGATACTGTAACTAAACTAAATATAATAAACTACTAACTAATTTGTACTAAAAAATATGATGTTTGAAGGATTTAGATATTGCAGATTTGTTCGAAAGAGGCAAAGCTATGAGATTTTTATAAGGGTTTGATTAAACTATTTACAAAGAATATGACTAAACTAAACTAATAATTCCTAACACTAAATAGAGAATTATAATACAAAAACAATATATCAAGATCATAAAGTAAGGTATAATTAACAAGAGTTTTAATATTCCACCAAGGAATAATATAGAATTTCACTAAGAAATTCCAATAGTATAAATAATAATCCACACAAGTATTATTTATAAGGTAAATCACAAAGTATTTTTATTAACAAAAACTGGAATTAAGAATTAACTGTCAAACTTGAATGAAACTGAGGACTGAGCAAAGAGAAATTTAGCCTTTTCTATACATAATTGAAGTTATAATAGATTACATTGTAGACTACACTAATGCATACACTATTAATTACACTAATATATACACTATTAACTACACTTTCTATTACACTATCTATTATACTACTCATTATACTATTGAATATACTATTGATTACACTATACATTATACTCAGATCTACAGTCGTAATACTTAATAGTTATACCAATTTCTAAATGATTTATGCTAATAAGTTCCTATATAATATATACTAATAAAAATATAAAATTAAACTAAAAAAATATAGTTATAAATAAGCTAATACATGATAATAAAATAATAATATAATAAATGAATAAGATAAAATATAATAATAATAAAATTTGATAACTAGGGTTAACAACACAAAAGAAAAAATCTAAACTCTTATGATTACAAATTAGTGAAATGGTTGAAATAGTAAAATGGAAAAATGGCAAAATAACAAAACAGTAGGCTCTTTTTTTATTTATTTTATTTATATTTTTTAAAAATAATTAATTAATTTATTTATTCTTTAACAGAAAACAAAAAAAAATAAAATAAAGAATAATACTTTGGTCACAAATTGGTAAAATGGCGAATTACGCAATGGTGAAATGGCGAAATGACAGAACGGAAAGTTTTTTTTATTTTTATATTCTTTAAAAATAATTAATTAGATTTTTTTTTTGATTCGATTATCATTCCACATGATTTAAAATCACATGGGTACATTTATCGAGGGAATGTTAATATAAACGGGGGTCAAAAAATCGTTGCACCGTGCAAAATAAGAGGGGTGCACTTAGTTATTATTCCCCAACATGGGATGCACTTATAGAGGGTGCATTTATAGAGGGTTGACTGTATAGTTCAGTCAAACAAAATCACATAATCAAAAACTGTTAATATCATGTTTATAATCAGAGTGTATTTGGATAAATATCAAATAGATATAATTTGAAAAAAAAATCAGTGTCCAGTCAAGGTAAAATTATTATAGAAAAGGTAGTTATACTTTGGATAGACACAAAAAGTATAAGTCAAGGTAAAATTATTACAGATATATATATTATTACAGATATATATATTATAAAAAATTATACTTTGAACAGACATGAAATAAACAATAACAATTTGGCACTACATGCCTCAGGTTCATATGATTTGGCTCCATTCAATTTTATCATATAAAATTAATTTTTCTTTTTGATATTTTAGATGAATTTCATTAATTATTGTGAATAAAATAATTAAGTAGCAATACTGATTAAAATTGATTATAAAATCTGATGATCTAGTTTTTTTTTGTTTTTTCACACTGTCAAAGGTACATGGTAGATTGGTTTCAAATCAGTTTTTTGAATTAGTTAAAATCATGTACTTAGATAAAAATATTAAAATAGTGTATTTTAATTTATATAAATTATAATAAAAAATAAATATTATCTGTTTTTTAGGATATTTAAGTGAAATAGGAGTTCTTTTGAACTTGTAGAATATAGATCTCAGGTTTGAAGATTTTAACACTTAACACATATGTATTTATTATTTAATAGATTTTGAAATGCATTATTAATAATCTTAGTTTTATATTATAATTATAATTATAGGTTTTATTAGAGTTATAGAGTACAAATACATACATTATGATAATAAAATAATGTATTTTTAATAATTATAAAAATTATAAATACAAGTTAGTTAATAAAAAATATAAAAATTAAATATAAGTTTGGAACTCTTGGAAATTATTTTCAGAAAAATATTAATGTTAATCTAATAAATAATGACTATTTGTTATTTTCGTTTGTTTCTTTCGTCTATTTATTTTTTTTTATCATATAATATTATGTGGAACAATATCTTTTCTCAGATATCACTTATAATAAAATTACTGTATGTTATATATTTTTTGTCATCCCAAAAACCTTCCAGGTGGAAATAGGTGTTTCACTATGTTTCACATCAGAATCTTCCAAGTAGGACCATTTCGGCACTACGTGTCTCGACTCTGGCCCTCATAGAGGAATTAACCAGAAAGCTAGGGCACTACGTGCCAAGTTCAGGCATAGCTCTCACATTGGGCCCGCAAATGATGACACATGATGATGGTGTCAAATTTCTGTCATCACGACACATATTTGAGTGGAAATAACCTAGACTAAGTGGAAATAATATAATTATATTATTTCCACTACTTCTAAATGTGCATCATTCCTCTAAAGGTTTATATTTTATTTGTTCAAATGTAGAGTCTTCTTTTATTAAGTCAATTTTTTCTTTACTCACATTCTTCATCATTACATATTATTTTTTTTAAAGATAGTGATGAAATTCTAAGTGTTTGTAATCCAATTGGATGGAATAAAAATATTTTTATTATTATTATTACGTTTTTGTTCCTTAACATTGATTTTTTTCTTTTGGACAAACGAGGCATCGTTATCTAATCAATACATTTAAAAGAATTATATTCGCACAGTAATTTTTTGCTATTGTCGAATAAAAAAAATCACTCCGAAATTTTTTGTTATTTATTTTTAATATTTGGTTAATTTATCAATCATATGAAGTGTACATTTTTTATCTCTGTATAATAATTTTTATAAAAATGAAAATAAAAAATAAATTGATAGAATTTATTTTTATTTTTAATTAAGAGTTCAATCACATGAATTTATTGTTGGATTATAGGCAACACATCCCATAATAGTACGATTTGTACGTACCCTCCATAATATCCATTTTATGTGATTTTGTTGGAACGTGAGGACACCATTATTGAAATTGAGTGAAATTTTTGACCTAAATTTCTCGTTAAAAACAATAATCAATAATATTTGATACAATAAATGTTGTACACACGAGATCAATTTGTTTGTCGCATTTTATCCGTTATTATTCACGCTTTCAAAAAAAAAATAAAATAAAAATAAATATATATGCAACAACAAACAATTCTTTTCTTTAAATTGAGATTCTACTTTGTTTAATTTGTTTGTTATTAAAATATTTTAGATTCGCCAAAATTATAACATATGAAAGATCTTTACTTGGAGATAAATATATTTTAGAACACAAAATTGAAAAACAAATATTAACAATATTAATAAATATCAACTGTTAATTTATATAGGCATATAACAAAAAAAATGCATATTTATATTTTATATTTATATATTAAATATTATGATTTCTTGCATGTTAATAATAATAATAATAACAATAATACATATTTATAACATTTATATTTACTTGTTTCACTTTAAAAACATAAACCTGATAAACTTCGGGATTTGAAACTATTAATTAGTTTATAACCTTATATAGTAATTATTAATTAATTTATTAATCTAAGAATTATATTTGGTGATCGAATAAGTATGTGAATTCTATATTACGAAGGGTACAAGAAAAGAAAAAACGAATTAACTGAATAACATCGAACCATTTTCTGTGGTTAATCTTGAATAAATAAAAGAATCTTTTACAAACCAAATTTTTTTCTTCCGTTATACAATAAACATATTGAAAAATAAGGTAAATAAGTAATTAATAAAGTCTATAGCGAATTAAAATGTTTTTTATGTACGTGTTATATTAAAAAAATCTTTTTTTTCGTCTTATAAAAGAACATTGTTAAATATTATTATTATTTGAGGAAAATATAACATACGATTTCTAAATGTAGTTAAATCATTTTAATCTCAATTACTAATACATTATATGTATAATGTTAATGAATGTGTATTACCACCGAACGTGAAATGAATTCTTATACAATCTTAATATCTTTCCAGAATTAATTTTCTTATCCTGAAATTGGAATTTGAATTTGAATGCAGAACTAAATAATGGATGTGGTAATTTAATATAATTGGTTGCAATTGCAATATGACAGGTTATGAATGAATGACCAATGATAATAAAGTTCATCAAAGATCATTTCATTTATTGGTACTAAATCTTATTTTCCGATAAAATTATATTAAATATATATATTAAATACATTACGTAAATTTTGTTTGCGAAACAATGGATATTATTTGTATTATTTGGGTATTATTTGTTTATATGTATCGGCGTAAGAATTAAAGAATTCTTTGTCTATTTCTTTAATATTTGGCGTCAAATGTGTTTCGTCAAGTGATGTGGTCTTAGTAACACCATAAAAAACATAATATTACATATCCATGATGATAAAAAAAAAATTACCCAATGATTTTTACGAATTTTGAATTACAATATTACAATTCAGTTCGGAAAAAAGATAAATTATCTAGAATATCGAATTCACCAATTGTGTGATTAATGATTACATTATTCTGGCGTTGGCTTATCTCATCAAATGCAGTATCACGTTATATAAGGAATAAATGATTTTCTGATTTAATTACTTTTTTCCGGTGAATTCCTATTTTGAGAAAACAGGCAAAGTATAGGTGAATTTACCTCAAAATACTTTGTAAATCGTTGGGAAGTTTTTCCGAATGATGAAAGAGTAATTAAAACAATTGACCTATTATCTTTTTGTAAACAATCTATTGTGCTCATTTTTGGTCATTGATTCCCACCCCCTTTAATTTTTTGCTCAAATTTAGTATTCAAAACCTACAAAAATTTTATAAAACCTTACAAACCTATTTGTTTCTTTCTTTTTACTAACAAATATATTCTCATTGATTTTCATAATTATTTAGTTGGTGAAACAATAATAAAGAAACAAACGTCATATATTTGATGAAGAAGATAGATCAACAGCTTTATTACTTTTTACTTATTTAAATATATACAAATGCTTTTCCCAAAGAGTTGAATTTGTTGAACTTTTTTATATTTTAGATTTTTTTTTTATCCTTTCTAATTGGTTTATTAAAAAATTTTCGAATCCAAAATATTTTTTTTTGGTTTAAAATCAAGTTAATAAAGTTTTTAAAATGTATTTGAAAATAAGGTTAAATAAATAATTTAAATAAGTGATAGATCAGTTAAATTAAACCATGTTTCGATCAAATTAAAACGTTAAAAATAAATATTGGCGGAAAAATATTAATATATTTTTTTTAATTAATACTGCATTTGATAAAATAAGTGACAAAAACGCCAAATACACAAACAAACAATTAAAAGGTTGGATAATGGATATCAGTGATACAAGATAATAAAATCCGCATATTTTAAATATTGGAAATTCATTTAAACGAATACCTTTATAATATTTTCTGCCTGCAACCTTATGATAATGCAATGCAAATTTATCAAAAATAATAATAATAGAAATAATCTTTGGAATCTTCAGCACATTGTTATTGAAAAAAGATTTTCATTGCATAAAATGCTAAAAGGCCAATTAATCAAAACTCTTTTTATTTATTTATATATATATTTAAGAATTCCTTTTTTCGGCAATTTCAAATATTCCAAATTCAGAATATCATTGTAAATATTGTGAATGATCTTAAAGATATTGTTTTTACGGGTAGGTCAAAAAAAATATTCTTTGCATAATTATTTACAATTTCCGTTACCCCTTCAATTTGGCACCAATAATATCATTAACATTAATTTTCAATTTTCATTAAAAGAAAATATTAATGGCATAATTGTTTGTTTATTATGTTGTGTGATTCAGTAAAAAAAAAAATTCAAAATCAAAATAAACAATATTTACAATAACTTGACATTGAATTATTGAATTTTTGGTTAGTAACAATTTCTTTCAAAGAACCAAAGAGATGATTGTTGCATATTATAAAAAACAAATCTTTTTACTGAAACGAACCAATTGCAATTCTTTCCAATATTTTTTTTTAAAAAAAAATTATGATAAATTACGATATAACGTGAAATTTCCTATTCTTCAATTTCTGGTTTAAGTTTGCAATTAGTCCGACCATGATTCTGGAAAAATATGAAACTTTAAAAATGTTACACAAGTATGTTAACTATTATTATTATATGATCAAATATTTGTATTACTTTTAAAAAGAATGGCTAATAATTTGGTCAGGGAATGTTCTTTCGGTTTAGTACATAATTTAAGGAATTAGGAAACTCCTTTCTTGGTCTAATATATAAATTATAATTAAATTCAAGATAAATATTGTCCCACGCTGATATTTGTTTGAAAGAGACATGTTTGGTTCTTGGGTAAGTTACACCACTGTATTGTATTTCAAAATGCACCAGCCTTCTACTAGTAATTTGTGCTCAAACATGTCGATTGACATTTAATGTCTAACATCATTTTTTTCTTTTCAAACCTTCTCACCAAACTTTTTTTTATTGACTGGTTTTTCATTCTCTGACTTTACCAGTTTTAATTTGTTAATTTGATATAAATATCTATATATATATTATTTATTCGAATTTATTATTAATATTATTTTATTATTATATTTTATTATTTTATTATTATTCTATTATATATATATATATATATATATATATACATATATACGTACGCACCATATAATATATATCATTTACTAATTTTATTAACGGCGTTTACCGGTATCACAAGTTTCTTCAAATTGTCACGCTTTGAGACCTAAGCAATAACACATATAAGAAACCCCCCCTTAAATTTTATTTTTGTTCGCATCCTTATTTTTTTTTCTTTTTATAGAATTTATAAATATTTTATATTGATGAATAATAGAACGAAAGTTACTGTGGCATGCCAAGCTTGTCAAAAGAAGAAGGTCAAATGCACAGGCGTCGCTCCCTGTGGTAATTGCATGAGAACAGGGCTTCGATGCGAATTTACAGGGACTGCCAAAAAACGTGGCCCTCGAAATGGTACAGTCGAGGTGATCAAAAGTCCGGCAAGGAGAATCGAAAATGTTTTAAAAAAGGATCCAAGCCTTAAGGATGCGATTGATAATCTACTTGCCAAAAATAATTTTCGTTCAACAGTTAGTTTGGCAAGGCCACCATCAATTATTCCTTCCGATGCACCTATAGTGATAATAGATGATGATACAGGAATTACCACTGATGCTTCCCAATCACACGGTATTCCACGTCCATTGATCATAAATAATGGTTCTGGAAATTTTTCTCGACAAAGAAGACATGGTAAAACAAAAAAAAAAAAATTTTTAAAATAATTAAAATAATTTAAATTGTAAAAATAATTTATAAAAAAAAATAATTTAAAATATTTAAATTTTTTCGAAATGATTTTAACGAATTTATTATTTTATAAATATTCTATTAAAAGTCACAAACGTTTATCCACGAGACGGTTCTACACAGGAATTTGAAACAACCAACCAATCACCAGTTTTGAGGCGACCAGTTCCATTATATCCTCAAATTCCAAGAAATGAACATCACTTCTATCCATACGCGCGACGATCAAATTCCTCAAATACGGAAATTATTCCATCACTTACACTTCCGTCAATTTCAAGTTTCGGAGCAATCTTTCCCGAAAATTCATCGATCCACGGATCATCACCCGGAATTATGTCCGAAGCCTTACCTCCTTTAACGGAAACGTTAACCTTACCATCTCCATGGACAGGATTACCTAGAAAATCTATGTCAATGTCTTTCGGTTCAACCGGAAAGCAGGTTTTACTCCCTCCTGCACCCGATGTAGGCAATCCATTAAATCCAAAATCGACATCACATGATTTTAAACCATTAGAAATAGTAAAAGATGATAATCATGTTGATAAAAAATTTAAATTTAACACAAATAATTTACCTTCACCACCTACGACTAATTTATTATCACCCAAATTGACTGGTGCACCAAATTTAAATAATAATAATAGTAATAATAATAATAATAATTTTAGTCCACCGACGCCAGCTTCATTATTATCTCCTTTATCATCGCCAAAAAGTTATCCAACAGATTTTTATAGATCAATTCAACCTAAAATCGATCTTTTATCTCAACCTGTTTCATGGTGCAACAATAATGATATGGATTTTAGTCCATATAGAATATAACTTATATTTTTCGATATATTTAATTTTTTTTTATTTAATCGTCGTATTTTTCTTCCGTAATTTTTAATTAATATTATAATCGCTATATATATATATATATGTATATAATTTATATATGTATGTATGGCACATATAAAACATTAATAATTTATAAAACATTAGGTGTCATGATTTATTATAAGCAAAAAAAAAAAAAAAAAGAGTTTAAGTTTAAGATAATTTTCTTCAAATTTTGCAAAATTTTGGCATGCCATTTATTAACTCCCCCCTTTTATTCCCCTCCCACATTCTAAGATATATGTTCAAAATAATTTGGTAAAAAAAAAAATATATATATATAATAATTATGCCCTGGATTGAAAAATAGTAAAATAATTTTTATGCTTTTATTATTATTATTAATTTGTAATTCGTTTTTTTTTTTTAAAAAAAAAAAAAAAAAAAAATTTTTTTCCTATTTCCTTTCCGATAGTTATTAATATCGAAATAATAATAATTAATCTCGTAAAGGCGTTCTTTCCTATAATTTGTAATTTTTAACGTATTTATAGTAGATATTTTTAAACAACGAACAACAACAACAACAACAAAAAACAAATAACAGCTATTGTAATCATTAAAGATTAAAATTAGATATGTAAAAAAAAGGTTAGAATTAAAAACTACATAAAAAATTTCTCTTATATATAGGTATGAATTTGTATGCTAAAAAAAAAAAGAAATCCAAAACAATTCCTTAAAACATATTTCTATTTTTTTTTTTTTCCTTTTTTTTTTTGATTAAAAATATGAAAAAAATTAAAATTGGCAAAATTGATACGAATATTTATAGTAATTAATTTGATTGTTGGGTGTGACTGATTGCATAATTTCATAATTAATTAATCTAATCTCGATAAATAATTGCATAAATCAATTGTACAGTAATAACTATAGCTTATCTTCATTATTATTTTGATTATTATTGATGATGATTACTTTTATTATTCTTATCATTACTCATAATTATTGTTATCAATATTATTATTGTTATCATCATAATTATTACCATTAATATTATTGATATTATTGTAATTATTATTATCATCACAATGAATATCATAATTATTATTATCGTTCCCATCATTACTAATAATTTCTTTACGATATTGTTCATATTCCAACATCCAAATTTTGGCCGATTCATTTACTTGATTAATCTTCATCCGTTTTAAAACATAATAAAAATTTTCCAAGGTTTGATTTAATAAATCAGGTGATTGAGGTTTCCGATGTAAACGACGAATTTTAATTGTTGTAGATGTTGAATGAATCGAAGAAGGTCGAGATAATTTCATATTTTTTCTTGGAAATCTTGTCTTTTGATGATAGATATATTTAGAGATATGTGTGATGATATATACAATATGTACAATATATACAATATATAATGTTGTTGAATTCGTTGGGAAATTTACGATTTACGAGAATATCTTGTATTTATTATTATTATTATTTTTTTTTTTTGAATTTATTTAAATTTTATGAAGATTTAGAATTCTTCAAGAAGGAACTTATATATCTCTCTACGAGATTTTTCCCTATGACATGAATAAATTTTCTCGCATGTAAAATTTTTCGAGGACATTTTCGCGTAATTGTTATTTATTGTTAAACAATTGTTATTAATTGTTATCAATTGTAATTAATTGTTATTAATTTTTATTAATTGTCATTAATTTTTATTAATTGATACTAATTGTTATTAATTGTGATGATGAATAAATTATTATCATGATTATAATCTAATTTTAACTTTATTATGATTTATTTTTAAATAATTATTTTTATTTTACTGAACAAAGATTAACTTGTACATGTGATAAATATCTAACAAAGGCGTCCGAAATTTTTTTTTTTTTTTTTGTATTTTGTATATATTCTACAGGGTAAAACCGTTTAACCATTTATGAACTTTTTGATATGCAGGTGCATACATAATACATTCTAATACATCCTATCAATCAGAAAATACGGAATCTTATTCTTTTTGGTAAGTAATTTAAATTATATTTATATTATCGTACTTTTTACATGATTGTTATAATGGAATTTATTGCAATTTTATTGTAACTAGATAACATTATGCAAACCCTCCCTTGTTTTTTTTTGTAATTGTTTTACCTATCAATCAATAATTTCAATAGTATCAATAATACTTAATAATATCCAATAATATCGTGAAATTTCTCAAATTTCTACAGTACAGATTTTACATACATAATATACATTTTATACTTAAAAATTTTATCAATTTCTTCAAGTTTAAAGAAAAAATACATATTTTGATTATATTACATATTTGATTAATTATAATAATAATTATAATGTATACATATTACGGTTATGGTAATTTTATTGTTCATTATTCTAATTAATAAAGAATTTCAAATATCCAAAAATATCTAATAATACCTGGAATTTCTTATCAAAGTTACATCACATTACAAAAAAGGCCTAGAGAAGATCAAAAAAGTGATCATAAGAATTTCCAAAAACATCCAACAGAATTATAGAAAGAAATGTAAATCCATTATGAAAGAACCTAAATTTGGTAAATTCATACTATTTTATTAGGGTATAAAGTAACGTCAAAAAAAAAAAACAAAAATATATCGAGATATAACTTGCACTTGTTCAATAATATATAAAGGTATATTTATAGTAATAATATTTAAATGGTATTACCATTTTATTTAAATAGCATTTAAGTAAATTAAGAAATCAGTAATCAAATTAAGTAATTTCAGGACACAAAAGAATAAATTAAATCAGGTAACTAAACAAAATGAACTTTAAATAAATAAAAAAAAAAAAAAAATTTAATTTACGATGAACTAGCAAAAATCATTAATTCAATCAATTTTTTAATTCAATAATTCATTCGATCAAAAAAATATTTCATAAATATTTACAATCAAAAAAAATTTAAAATTTATCAATCATTTCATTAATGTATCAAATATATCAATATACCAAATATACCAAATATATACCAAATATATAAATATAAGAGAATCTACAATTGAACTCAAAATTCGAGGGAAACATTAATGGTAAATTATAATTTCTATAAATAAATAAATAAATAAAAATATTATTATTTATATCTATTTTTCTAAATATAAAAAAGGAGATATCAAATATAAAGGAATTTTAACGGAGTTTGAAGTTTTTTGGTCCCTTTTACGCCCTGTGACAGAGTATATTTTTGGAATAATTAAAAAAAAAATTCTTAAAATTCTATAATTATAATTCCCTTTTATTATAATGCCCCCGAAGAATAATTTTCTTCCTATTTTATTACTATTCAGTTCTTCTTTTCGATTGAATTATCAAATTTTTTTTTTATTGAATTATTTAATTTTAATTTTTTTTTTATTCGAACATTTCTAATTTTTTTTCTTATAATAATATATTTTTTCCTACATGAAATTATTAAAATTTCTTTTTTCTTTAATTTTCATATTCGTATATATTTCAATTTATTCTATTAATGCACAAACTGATGTCACAGACACTGAAACCTTTACGGAGGACACCTCCACCATCGCTATCCCTACAGACTTATTCACAGACACCACAGACATCACAGACACCACAAGTAGTATTACTGATACTGATATAATTTATCCAACTATTCCAACCACTCCAACCATCGATACTTCTTCAACCTCCACTACTACTTCAAAATTAACTGCTAACACTATTACTATAACTTCTACGTCTGTTTCAACTGCAACTGTATCACATACAACATCATTACCATCAGCTGTAAATTTCTTTAGTATTGAAAGTAATAATTATTACGTGTTTAGTGCGACAAGTCATCCACTTGAAAAGATAATAGTTCGATTAGTTGAAGACATCGACACTCGTGATAATGATCAATTAACCTGTTACGAACAGGATTTACATTTACGTATATACAATAATGATAATAATGATACTAATATTGGCTCGGAAGATTTTAAAGTTTTTGATGTTAAAAATGAGATTAAAGAATTTAATTTTTGTCAAAATTCAACTTGGCAACGTGATTTAATTCAGATTTTCCCATTGTTTAGAGATTTCGTTATGATTACTTATTTGGATAATAGTAATAGTAATGGGGTTTATTTAGAGAAAGGAATGGTTCTGAATTTGAATTTGACGAATGGAACATCTATGTAGGATTATTATTATTATTATTATTATTTTATTATTATTATAATTATTATTTATTATATTACATCAGATTAATAATTTTTGTATATATTTATATTAGATTAACATCTGAAATAACATTAGGATCAATAAATATGACAGAAGAACAAGATGTAAAAGCATTAGGTCATGCGGTTGTAAATGAACAACCTGAACGAGAATTTATTTGGGTAAATCGTGTAGGTACAAATAAAGAATTTGTAAAATGGACCACATTTAACATAACGTAAGTTTAAATTCACATTGAATTCGCATTCATTCATTCACTCACTCACTCACTCATTCCAATTACATAATTATAGTGATCGTTTAGAAGGAATTGTCGGTAATTCGAATTCGACATCATCTAACACTTTCAACGTTTCATCAAATGAGGATTTAAAAGTGATAAGAACAGTAGATGGAGGATATGGATTTATAATTGCGGGAAAAGTTGATGATGATTCATTATATCCGTGGAAAATTAGTGTGAGATTTTTACGACCACAAAAAAATGTAATATCTTTACCTTTCTTATTATATCAACGAGAGGATGATGTGAAATCAATTAAAATTGAATATTGTGATAATTCACAATCTGAACCAGGAATTGAATGTATATTTAGTATAAATACCAATTCGGATTTAATTTATATTCGAATAGAATTTGTTATTAGTGGAGCGGTTAAAAAGATTTCGAGATTAAAAATTGATAATAATTATAATAATAATAATACTAATAATAATAATAATAATAATAATAATAATAATAATAATAATAATAATACTATATTTAAAGTTAATCAAATTTTTCAAGTACGTAATAAATATATAGTTTCAGGATATTATGAAAATAATGATACATTAACATTTACGGGTAAAATTTATAATAATAATGGAGATTTTATATCAAATTGGAATTTACCTGAAGTTAATGCACCATCATATAGAATATCATCATCATTATTACCATTATCAAATGATACAATTATTCCAACAACAATTATTCCTCATGGTTCATTTTTTAGTGAAAAAATTTGGATGGTATGTAATTATAATAATATTTCAAATCGATGGAATTTGTCAATTGCTGATTTAAGTTCAATAAATCCTGGTAAATATATTTTTATAATTATTTTTATTATAACTTAATAATTATATATTTTTTATTATTTTTTTCATTACTATTAATTTAATATTATAATATTATAATAATTTAATAATAATAATAATAATAATAATAATAATAATAATTTAATAATAATAATAATAATAATAATAATAATAATAATAATAATAATAACTAACTAACTAACTACTTATATTTTTATTATTAATAATCTAATAATTAATTAAGATAATTCCAATAATAATCACATCAAGTCTAAATTTCCTTTAAGTGGTTCCAAAATACCTTTGGGAGGTTACCAATATATCACCATCGAATTTGATCGATCAATAACATTATCTGTTGGTAATATTACAATCTGTCAAATAAAAGATAACTTCAAAGATCAAAATATTATTGTTAGGAACAATATAATGTTTGGTAGAAGAGAAAATTCGAATGTTGTGAATAACAAATATTATTACATAAGACAAACCTTGAATGCACAAAGTTCATTTGTTACAAAAGTGAATGATACCTCGGTTAAGGTGACCGTGTTAAATAGTACTTTCATTGCACCAAATAAGAATTATTTCGTGATCATAGATAATGATTTCGTTAGAGATTCTAATTATGATGAACCGTTATCTGGTTTGGAAAGACCTGATTGGAAATTTACTACTGGTAAAGTATTATATTATTATGATTATCATTACTTTATTTATTATTATTTATTATTATATTAATCTTTTTTTTTTTGTTTATTTTATTATATTATATTTTTAGAACAAGAAGATGGTGAGTAGTCAAAATTATAATAACATTAGAATAAGATATTTAATTAATTAATTTATAATAATAATAATAATAATAATAATAATAATAATAATAATAATAATAATAATAATAATAATAATAATAATTTTTTAATGTTAATTTTTTTTTTTTAGATGATTCATTCGGAATAAAAACAAGTGGATTAGTTCGTTTAACAACTTTAGCGTCACGTAAATTTTACGAATTTTCAAAGTCAGATCGAACCAAATTTTTGGATGATTTAAAAAATGAACTCACCGAAATTTTGCTTTTAAATGATTCAATATTACGAGCTAGCGAACATTGGCAATGGGATCCTAATGTAAAAAATTGGCAAATCTTATTAAAACTTACAATATATCCCGGTGGGAATAAAACCACCGATGTAAGTGTCGGGAGGATTGTGGATTCATTAAATGAGTCAATTATAAATCGAGATGTTTCTTTAATATCACAATATTCTAATACTAGTCTATTGGATAGTTCTTATGGATTTGTAAAGAAACGTAAGTATTATCATTATTATTGATGAAGAAGAAATATAATTAATATAAATTAAAATATAATATAACTAAATATACTAATTTTATATATATATTTATATATTTTATGTTCGATAATTTTTAGAGAGTGTTTGGGATCGTTATGGATTTAAATTAATCGGGATTGGAATCGCATTTTTGATAATAGGCGTATTAGCATTATTGTCATTTAAGAAAAGAAAAGATGTAAGTAATATATTTATTTATATATTTAATATTATCTTTACGCGAATTATTCGATTAACTATTTATATAATAAATAATAATTATTTTTATTTAGAAAACCAAAACCGGATACTTACTTTCTGGATATTTACCTTTCAAACTATTTTTAATAATTTTGGATTTTTGTTTGGACGTGGCATTTTTACTTAAAAATGGAAAAGATATTTATTTATTGTTTTATCCTAGGTAATTATATTTATTATTTATTTTATTTATTTATTTATTTATTTTTATTATTTATATTTATTTATTTATATTTATTTATTTATTTATTTATTTATTTTATTTATTTATTTTTATATTATTTTTAATTATTATTTTTTATTTATTTATATTATTATTTATATTATTATTTATTTATTTATTATTTTATTTATTATATTTATTATTATTTATTAATTCATTTACATTTTACATTCTAGTTTACTCTGCATAATAATTCCTATATGTTTTAATACCTTGATATCATTTATAATTATAATTCGACAACTTTCTTATAATGGAAAATTCTTTGAATGGTTTCGAAAATATCACAATGCGGCAACAATTTTCACTTGCTTTTCAGCAATTGATGTTGAAGCATTTTCTTTAATCCATTCTCGATTAGCAGGTTTATCAATATTTAGTGCTCCTTTCTCTGCAGATGGTGAAAGCTTGTTATTTTGGGCTTGTGCCGTAAATTTCGTTATTGAAGATACTCCACAATTAGTTATTCAGGTAAATTTTTATTTGTTATTCTCATTTTATTATTATTATTATTATTCATTATTATTATTCATTATTATCTATTATCATTCATTATCATTATTATTTATGCTCACATTCACTCTTATTTTATTATTTGTATTTGTTACTTAGATCGTTTATATTGCTTCTTCAGTAAATTACGATATAGTTCCATTCTTAAATTTAATATCCGCATCCACCTTATTCCTTGTAATAGTATTAGGTCACCTTTATAAATTATATCGTTATCTAATTGATGATAGAAATGATGTTAACAATATTGATGGGTATGAGCATTATAATAATCCTAGTAATGATTCACAAAATGAGGTTCATCATATGGAGAGGGAAGTAGGAATTTTGGGAGTTTCGGAAGTTGCGGGAATTGGGGGAGTTGGAGGAGTTGGGGGAACTGGAGGAAGTGGGGGAGTTGAAAAAGGAAAAAGAAAAATCGTAGGAGGAATGGGAGTAGGAATGGATGAATTAATTGATCATGGAACTATAGAAGTTATAGAAACATCTCCAGAAGGATCAGCACCACCGGTTAGATCATGGCAAGATCCAAATCCAAATAAAGCATTTAATCGAAGGTCATCACAACCATTAGGCAGTCAAGATGAAATTTTAAAATATACTATTGGACCCCAGGGTAGAGTTGTGAGAAAAAAAACTGGAAGTGGAGAATATGTACCAGTTATAAATTCTAATTCTATTAGTAATTTTAGTTCTAGTAGTTCTAATATTAGTACACCTAATAATAGTGAATTTAATGTTAACAGTTCTTCAGGTTTAGGTGTAGATTTAAGTGAAAATTTAGATAATATTAATGGTAAAAGGAGGTCTAAAGATAATGCTGGTGTAGTTTATATGCCAACTGATATAGCCAATATTCACATTGAAGATGAAATTACTACTGATGGCATTGAATCGAATGGACTTAATTCTAGACACTTTTATGATGGATTACCTGGGCATAATTTAGATGTCAATAATGTCCCTTCTATTTCTATCACTTCACCTACTTCGAATGTAATTGATATTGATTCATCACCATCACCTATATCACCTATACCAATAAATTCTGGAATACCATTTTCATCAAATCCATCTTCATAACTTCAATAAAATTGGGAATTAAAATTGGGAATTAAAAATTGGGAATTAAAATTGGGAATTAAAATTGGGAATTAAAATTTGGGAATTAAAATGGGAAGGGTAAAAAAGTAATTTTAGATAGTATTATTTTTATTTGTTCATCATTTTTTTATGGTTCTATTTTTTTTTTTTGTATATTAATTCTTACATAAATATAGATAATTTATTTGTTTTATTCAGTTTATGTAAATTTCCCAAATCTTTATGTTGTCTGTCTGTCTACATAGTTTATATATCTTTTTAAAAAATAAATTAATAATACATATAATTTTTAAAAATAAAATTTCCTTTTTTTTGAGTATACAGTATAAAAATGTATTAAAATATATTAATTACATGATTTACTAATTCTAGAAAAAAAAAATAAATTAATATAAATAAAAATTAAAACAATAAAAAAAAATAAATTAATATAAATAAAAAATAAAACAATAAAAAAAAATAAATTAATATAAATAAAAAATAAAACAATAAAAAAAAAAGGCGACTATTTACAAAAATTATTTTGAATTATCAACTCGTCATCTCAAACCACCTTGTAGGCGACGTAAGGAAATGCAATCATGTGATTGACGTAGATTTCCTTCGACAATTTTATAACGAAGACATTATTGTTTTTTTTTCTCGCGTTCCAATAACATTTCCCAATTTATTACATTATTATTATCGTTGTTATTATTATCATTTCCACCTTCCTTATTATAAAAAAGAATTTGTCGTCGTCGCGTCGTTGTTCACAATCTTTAAATACTGATTTAATTAGATCGAATTGAAGAATTTTTTTTAAAAAATGTGATAAAAGATTTCTAATGTTTGATTAATATGTGAAGATGGAGATATTTTTTGGCATAATTTTTTTTTTCTCTTAATTTTTCCGAGCATGCAAAAAGAATGCAAGAGCTTTTGAAAATAACAGTTAAAATTCTAAACACAGTATTAACTAATATGGTTCCCGTTATTTTGGTTGTGCCAATCTAGAAAGAGACATTAATTAGATAAAATATATTCATTCAAGGAAATTCTTTGATAAACAACTCTGGAAAAATTTGACGCAACATCTTTTAATATTCTGTACAATTTTAAAAAAAAAATTATAAATTCAATAAAATTATAAAAACATATTGATACAATTTCATAAAAATATAAATATAAAATACAATAATATAAATATCATTAATCATTTTCTCATAATCAACAATCGAGAAAAGAATGTGGTGGGTTTTTCATAAGTATCATCAATTTATATATTTTTATATATTTACAATTTGCATCTTAAGTAAAATTGGAAGAACTAGGACTCGACCATTTCCAAAATATGGACCCACGTTATTCATAATTGCTAATAATTGAAATTTGTATATTACCATTTTTCAATGAGAAAATAAAGTTTCTACCCAAGTATTTTTATCTCAAGCTAAAGGATTATATCCTCCAAAGATTTCATCCGTTCCTTTAACTTTCATAATCACAACCGTTAGAGAATGACTATGACATGTATCCAAAACGTTTGAGGAGCAAATCCATCTCTACTTCTCAAAATCAATTGAAATTCGTAAGGAGTATCTGATAAAGAATAAGTACTTGATTTACGATCAATCCAAAGAGGAAATTTCTGCAACATGTTCTTTAGTAATGATAGTAGAAAATTGTTTTTTCATTCTGGAATCAGAACTGATCTTGCTGGTAAAATAATTGGATTTACAGGTCAGTCATGAATTGCATCAAATCTTTCCAGAGTTGTCTATTAAGAATTTTCTTAAATGGCTGGATTTTATCTAAGATGTCATTGCCAGGAATATGGAAATATCTAATATATGGTAAGAATTGTTGTAGAGTAGTTTTTAAGGTCAAAAAGTTTTCCTTATTCCATTCATCGATGTTTTTAGGTAGAGTAGGATTTTGAGCCATTCCCCACTTAACGACATAATCCCAAATTTTAATTTTTTCAATTCTCGTGAGAAGAGATATTAAGGCTGATTCTAGAAGAGAAGTAAATTCGAACTTTTCAAAAATAAGATTTGGATACTTGACTAAAGTTGTTATTAATAAAAATTGAATGATAAACAAAAGAAAATATATTCTTAACCAAGAAGCTTTGTTTTCAATAAGATGAGTTTCTAATTTATTAGTCAATTCCTCAAGTTCTAATTCATTAGCAATTAACATTAGCAATTAACATTGAGTCAAAAATAAATCTGGTTTTAACATCTTCCAAATTAAAAATTCCCCCATAAAATATCTATATATAAAATAAATTAATTATAAATAAATTTATAATAATAGATAAAGTAAAAATAATAGTATTTTTAGATATTAATGATAACTTACTTAAGTATGACATCGAAAATTCGAGCCGAAATGTTTGGCTTGATAATTGTTTTGATATTATTTTTATTTGGTTGAATATTTTCTAACTCTTTACGAAAGTAAGACGATCGGTATTTTTGATATATTAGAATGTGCCATAAAGATTCCTTATTTTTAACTTCGATGATTACATTGTAATTATCTTTATCATCAAGAAGTTCAATAAAGTTTTAAGATAGCGTAAAAAAATTTTAAAGACATATTTCTATTACATAAAATTGAGCGTCAAAAACAAAAAAGAAAGAAAGCCTCACCAAAACGAGAAACAGTAACTATATGTTAGTTTATGCAGTTGTTAGTATGACATTAAAGGGAGACTAAATTCTTTTATCTCAACGCAGTACAAAGATTTGCTATATTTTTTTGGTGGCAACTAAGAATTATTTATTACACGCAAAAGATATTAGTATTTTCAATTTATTTCTTTGATAATTATAATATTATAAAAAATTAATGAAAATTATTTATAGATGTTAAAAACTTAGACGAAAAAACAATTATATAGTTAAATAAAAATATATGTATATTTAAATTATATGAAATATAATAGATTTAAATTTTATTAATGATAATTCTATGATGTCCACAAAACAACAATCTCAAGTTAAAAAAAATATTCGTACAATTTCATAAAATAGAAATCTAAAAAAAAAAATAATAAATATTATCAATCAATTTCTAAAAGTTGAATTTCCAAGTAGTTTTCTTAATAACCTTGAATACTTCATATTCAACAATCGAGAAACGATATGGTGTTGTAATGGGTTTTTCGTGATAATCGAAATTGCATTTAGACTTTTTATCTAAAGTAAAATTAGAACTAGGACTATACATAAAAAGTTCATTTCCAAAATAAGGACCCCGTAATTTTTGATCACTTTTACTAATATTCACAATTGCACGTTGAGTATTTTTTACTCTGCTAAGAATTGAAGTTTGTATATTACCATTTTTCAATGAGAAAATAAATCTATCATTTGTTTTCACCCAAGTATTTTTGGTAGTATTCTTATTCCAAGCTAAAGGATTGTATCCTCCAAAGATTTCGTCCGTTCCTTTAACTTTCATGATCACTACAGTACGAGAATGATCATGACATGTATCCCAAAAAGTCTGAGGAGCAAATCCATCCATACTTCCCCTTAAAATCAGTTGAAATTCGTAAGGAATATTTGATAAAGAATAAATATTTGATTTACGATCAATCCACGAGGAAATTTCAGCAATGTGCTCATTAGTAATGATAGTGGAGAATGGTTCTTTCTCTCGTGTAGATAATTCTGAAATCAGAACTGATCTTTCTGGTAAAATAATCGAATTCACAGGTCGGTCAGGAGATATTAAATATTGCACCAAATCTTTCCAGAGTTGTTTATCTAGAATTTTCTTGAATGGATAGATTTTAACTAAGTAGTAATTCCCGGGAATATGGAAATATCTAATATGTGGTAAACATTGTTGTAGAGTAGTTTTTAAAGTCAAAAGGTTTTCCTTATTCCATTCATCGAGGTTTTTTGGTAGAGTAGGATTTTGAGCAATTCCCCATTTAATGACATAATCCCAAATTTTAATTTCTTCTATCTGTAAATCATCTCGTTTGAGAAGAGATATTAAGGCTGATTCTGGAAGAGA